CTGCACTGTCTTTGGAGGCCAGTGTGCCTGCTACATGGACTCAGCATTGTATATCAGATCAGCTGACTCTCAGACAGCCCGGGATCTATGGCATGGGGCCAAGCCACGTTCTCCCTTTTTGACCTGGTAACAGCCACTTGGCCTGGAGGAACTAGTGTTCTGGGTAGAAATGTCCCTCTCCCCAAATCTACCTCCCATGCCACTGCATCAGCTAAACTCTGTGTTGAAGAAAGAAATGTGACTTTCCTTGGTCCATGAATTTAACTCAGATCTTCCAGGCATTCTGGTGTTCCCTCTCTCACCAGTGTATCACAGTGCAGGATGGTGTTGAGGCCCATTGTGGGTCCTGGCTCTTTGATGTCTTTGTAAGTGTTTGATGAAAGAAAAGTTTCTGTGGACAGAAACTCTGCCTGGGAAAATTCCCCAAGTTATTTATTTCCTCCAGAGCATCTCAGAGCTGATGACACGGTAATATGAATGTCCCTACAACAGGGAGCTTTAGAGCAGCATGAGGTGGCCCCCAGGTGCATGTGGCCACCAGCTCCATGAATTACCAAATCCAAACTTTCTCTGCTTGCCACAGGACAAGCCAATAAACTCTAGAGATGAGATGTTGAGGCAAGAAATATGACTTTATTTGGAAAGCCCTCAGACTAAGAAGATGGTAGACTAATTTATTAAAATAACCATCTTATCAGGGTCTGATGCCAGGTTCTTTTATAGAACAGAGATGGGGGGCGGGTGGTGCAATGAGGAAGTAAAATTTAAAAAAAAAGAGACATCAGTCTTGCAGAACATCTCCTAGAATGGCCAGTCTTGCCAAAGGGATGTGTTAATTTCTTCTTTTCTGGGCTGGGTCAGACTGTCTCTCTGTGAGCTGAACAAATGTTTAGTTAAACATACAGGCAGAGGGACGGGGGTTCTCTGAGACAGACCATAGTGTATGATTATAATAGTAAAGCAATGAAACGAAAAAGTTAAAGTGAAATAAACAGATCCAACATGGGGTCTGATTTTAGCCCTTCCCTGTTACACATGAAACCTGGCATTTTTCTCTCTTAGCACCTGTTCCTATCTTAAGGGAAGCTAGGTTCCATGGGACACAGGGTGAGTGAGGCTGGACCCATTCTTGAGACATGTTACCCACCAACACTTCATGATCACAGGAGTTCTTTACTGGGGTGGCATTGGAAATGGGAGTAGATTTAGAGTTAAAATTCCCCGGTGTCAGGTTCCTAGGGCTCCCAGAACAAGGGACCATAAACTCTGTGACTGAAACAACAGGAGTTTATTCCCCTCACCCTTCTGGAGTCCAGAATTCCAAAATCAGTGTGTGGGCAGGGTTGGTCCCTTCTCTCCAAAGGAGAGTCTGATCCAGGCCACCCTCCCAGCTTCCTACTGATGGTCAGCAGCCCTTGGATTATACATACCTCACTCTGGTCTCTCCCCCATCTTCCCATTCCTGTCCATTCCCATGAACTATTCCTCTTCTAACCAGGACAGCAGGCATTGGATTCAAGACCCATCTGGATAATCCATGGTTAGCTCATCTCCAGGTTCTTAACCAATTCTTATGTATCTGCAAAGGTCTTATTTCCAAATGAGGTCACATCCTAAAGTCCTGGATGGACATGAATTCTGGGCAAGACAATGTTCAATCCACTACAGCAGTGAACACCTACATTCCAGAAAAACAAAACAGAATAGACTGGACTGCCCCACATTTGTACATTTTTCTGTTTACACAGGCTTATTCTAGCCTATTTCCTGGTACTTGCCTAGGTCTCTCCAGCCCAGCCTGACCCATGGTCCCTCCACATAAATGGGTCTCAGTAGACGCCCATGATGACCTGGGTCTGTCACCTGGGCTGGTGAACTAATATAATGTTCAAGTGTGTCTACCCAGTGATTTTATTAATATCACCAAATTCAGGTTCTACATGATGGTGAGATAAGTACTGACAAAGTGGGTGCGAAGGGCCAAGTATGAACAGATGGGCCAGTGTGATTTTATTAGCTTTTCTGCTCACTTGTGGCAGCTGTCAGAGGTTGCATTCATCAAAACTCTCTATGATACAAGTGTTGGCTCAGTCTGGCTTTAAAACAAGATCCTTTGGCTGTCACTGCTGGAAAGTCTGGGAGTGGATATCACTGAGGACCTGCTTGCCTTCTGTCTCTTGGCTCTACCCTAAGAGGCTTCCCTCATGGTGACAAAAATGCTGGTGGTTCCAAGCATCACATCACACTATCTGAGAGAAAAGCAGTCTGGTTTCCCAAACACCTCCTAGAGGAGCCAAGAGCCTCATGTTCCTTCAGCCCCTGTGAAGGTAGATATCTCTTATGCCTCAAAGGCAGGAGACAGGCTGCAGGTTCATTTCTGAACCCATCTCACATGCATAACCTGAGGACAAGCTCACTCTGATCCCTGGGCAGAGAGGGTGAACTTACCCAATTGGGTTAAAACAATGGAGGCCTTCTCTGCAGCTTGGGTAAGTTTCATCCAAATGCTCAGAAATGCAGAAAATGAGTTACACACAAGGAGGTTCATTTGCATTTCTTTTAAATTGCAAACAATTAGAAATAATGAAATAAAGTTGCTTAGCTATTTGGTGATGTACATTACCATTTCAAGGGACAAGTAATAATGCAGGAAAATAGTCATATTTTAAAAGAAAAGTACAGAGTGTGAATTCAACTTTATGCCTACCCACATGGGGCAAAAAAATTGGAAGGATGTCCATTAAAACGTGTGCTATTAATATCTCTGAGAACTAGGGTTGTTATTTTCTTCTTTATGATTTTTGTATATTCCATATTTACTCAATAGGCATGGATTTTGTATATGTCTATCCATCTCAGTTTCTTGGGCTTCCCAGGTGACTCAGAGGTAAAGAATCCCCCTTCAATACAGAGATGAGAGCTCGACCCCTGGTTTGGGAAGATCCCCTGGAGAAGGAGATGGCAACACACTTCAGTATTCTTGCCTGGGAAATCCCATGGTCAGAGGAGTCTGGCAGGCTACAGTCCATGTTTTTGCAAAGAGCTGGACACATCTAAGCGACTAAACAGCAACAATTAATCTTCTAGGGCTGCTGTAAAAAAGTGCCACAAACTGAGTGGCTTAAACAACAAAAGTTTTTTTCTCATGATTCATTCTGGAGGCCAGAATTGGAGATGGAGGTTTCAGTAAGGTTGGTTCTTTCTGAGGCCTTTCCCCAAGTTTTGGGGGTTTTGTTAACAGTCTCGGTTGCTCCTTGGCTTGTAAGGAGCATCACCCTGATCTCTGCCTTCATCTTCACATAGCATCTGCCTGTCTGCCTGTCTGTGTACAAATTTCTCCTTCTTATGAAGACACCAGTCATATGGGGTTAGAGGGCCCACCCCACTCCAGTACAACCTCATCTTAACTAGTGACATCTGCAGTGACCCTATTTCCAAATAAGATCACATGGCGAGGTACTAGGGGCAGGACTGGAATATACAAATTTTGAGGGGACACAATGCAGCCCATAGCAACATGCATATATATATTTAAATACACATATGCACACACAATTTTCTTAAAAGATAGTAAAGGAGAAGGAAAAAAAGCCAATGCTTCTAAGCTTTTTTTTTTTTAAATTGAGGTATAGTTGCTTTACAATGTTGTGTTCATTTCTGCTATACAACAAAGTGAATCAGTCACATGTACACATATATTTCCTCCCTCTTGGACCTCCCTCCCACCCTCACCCCAAAATCCTACCCTTCTAGGTAATCATGGAATACTGAGTCGAGCTCCCTGCGATATACAGCAACTTCCCACTAGCTGTCTGTTTTACACATGGTGCATGCATGCATGCTAAGTCGCTTCAGTCATGTCTGACTCTGTGAGACGCTATGGACTGTAGCCCCCCCAGGCTACTTTGTCCCCGGGATTTCCCAGGCAAGAATACTGGAGTATGTTACCATTTCCTTCTCCTGGGGCTCTTCCTGACCCAGGGGTCGAACCTGCATCTCTCACATCTCTAGCATTGACAGGCGGGTTCTTTATCACTAGCGCCACCTGGGAAGCCACGTGGTAGTGCGTGTGTGTGTGTATATATATATATATTAATCCCAATCGCCCAAATCATCCCCTCCCTGCCTCCCTGTGTCCACGTCTGTTTTCTATGTCTGTGTCTCTATTCCTGCCCTGGAGATAAGTCCATCAGTACCATTTTCCTAGATTAAACATACATGCATTAATATACGATGCTTATTTTTCTCTTTCTGACTCTGTATGACAGGCTCTAGGTTCATCCGCATCTCTACAAATGAAATGTGGTTGAGTAATATTCCATTGCATGTATGTACCACATCTTTATCCACTCATTTCTAATCTTTGAGAGCAGAACAGTCACTGAAGTCACCAACTGAGAGAATTTCTACCTGGGGATGGCTGGCGGATGCAGTGCTCCATGTCTCGGGGGACCTGCAGATGGAAGCCAGCAGCTCCCATGAGGGCTGGAAGCACAGACACATCCCCCCCGCCCCCGCCAAAGTGTCCCCTTGAGGCAGATCAGGGACTCTGTCTTCACTCAACTCCCCTCAAGTCGAAGAAGCAATTTGGGGGAATTTGGATCCTTCACGTGAATGTGAACGTGAAAGTCGCTCAGTTGTGTCCAACTCTTTGTGACCCCATGGACTGTAGCTCGCCAGGCTCTTCTGTCCGTAGGGTTCTCCAGGCAAGAATAAGGGAGTGGGATGCCATTCCCTTCCAGGGGATCTTCCCAAACCGGGGATCGAACCCAGGTCTCCCGCATTGCAGGCAGACTCTTTACTGCCTGAGCCACCAAGGAAACCCAAGAATACTGGAGTTGGCGGCTTAGCCCATCTCTATGGGAACGTCTTGAGCCGGGAATTGAACCGGGGTCTCCTGCATTGCAGGCTGAGCTACCAGAGGAGCCCTGGATCCCTCACAGCTGTCTGCAACCCCTGTTCCACTAGTGTAATTAGGACAGGAACTTTACCACGCTTACCCCAGCTAACCGGAGAGGGTAGCGTAGAGCCGCAGGACGGTGACATTAGATTCTTGGGATGCCGTGTGGTGACAGAGTCAAGAACTGGCTGCGGGTCGGGGTCCCAAGACTGCACCCCAGAGAACAGCATGCAGAGACACCCCGCTGGCTCCCCGTTCGCTGTTAGGTGCCGGCCTGCTTCCCTCCGGCCTCTGGGTCAGAACCTGGCTGCAGGGATGCCACAGTCATCGACGTCTGACTCCATCGTTGATGACAGCCCAGGAACTCTGGGACCGAGGAGAGAACGCTGCCTCGGGGCCCCAGATGGGAAGCTCGTGGAGAGTGGAAGTGAATTAACCCCTCGCCCGTGTGGAGTCCCTTCACTGTTCCCCTGAAGTTTACCGGGGTGCCTGTCAGCACCAGACCCGTGCTAATCAGGGGCTCCACGAGCATGGCCGGAGTCCCTGCCTGCAGGGAGGTCGCTGTCCAGTGGAGGACACACACGTATGGACAGTGATCAACCCCACACTGTGGGAAATGCCAGCATGAGGCCGCCTTCAGAACACGGAGGTTTTCCAGAAGGCTTCCTGGAGGAGGCATTGTATGAATGGGGGTTTCCAGGCTTTGAGAGCAGGCTACAGGCGGTGGGTGGGCATGAGTTGCAGAATGGCATCATTCTGGCTGGACAGGGCTTCCCCTTGTGCAGGAGGAGCAGCAGATGGGGTCATAAGGGGGTCTGGTTCGAGCTGCTCAGTGACCAGAGTCAGGACTACAGTCAGGGCCGGGGAGGGGGGTGGAGTGGGGCAGTGGGGAACAGCCTAGCATCAGACGAGAAAGGCCTGGTCAGGAGGGTCTGTGGGACCTGACTCCAGTCTGAGCTCATCTCACTTTGCTTACACCTGGCCTTCCCTGGTGGCTCAGAGGTAATGAATCCACCTGTGATGCAGGAGACATGGGGAGACGTGGGTTCGATCCCTGGGTCAGGAAGATCCCCTGGAGGAGGGAGGAGGGGATAGCAACCCACTCCAGTATTCTTGCCTAGAGAAGCCCATGGACAGAGGAGCCTGGTGGGCTAAAATCCGTGGGATCACAAAGAGTCGGACACGACTGAAGGGACTGAGCACGCATGCCAAAATGTATTTCCAAAAGTCGCATCCAGGTGCTAGGGAGGGACCTGGCTTTTTGGGGGGACACAATTAGGGAGAAAGTCACACACAGCGAGGTGAGCACAGCACCAAAGCAGCTCCCATGAGGGCTGGAAGCACAGACACATCCCCCCCGCCCCCGCCAAAGTGTCCCCTTGAGGCAGATCAGGGACTCTGTCTTCACTCAACTCCCCTCAAGTCGAAGAAGCAATTTGGGGGAATTTGGATCCTTCACGTGAATGTGAACGTGAAAGTTGCTCAGTTGTGTCCAACTCTTTGTGACCCCATGGACTGTAGCTTGCCAGGCTCTTCTGTCCGTAGGGTTCTCCAGGCAAGAATAAGGGAGTGGGATGCCATTCCCTTCCAGGGGATCTTCCCAAACCGGGGATCGAACCCAGGTCTCCCGCATTGCAGGCAGACTCTTTACTGCCTGAGCCACCAAGGAAACCCAAGAATACTGGAGTTGGCGGCTTAGCCCATCTCTATGGGAACGTCTTGAGCCGGGAATTGAACCGGGGTCTCCTGCATTGCAGGCTGAGCTACCAGAGGAGCCCTGGATCCCTCACAGCTGTCTGCAACCCCTGTTCCACTAGTGTAATTAGGACAGGAACTTTACCACGCTTACCCCAGCTAACCGGAGAGGGTAGCGTAGAGCCGCAGGACGGTGACATTAGATTCTTGGGATGCCGTGTGGTGACAGAGTCAAGAACTGGCTGCGGGTCGGGGTCCCAAGACTGCACCCCAGAGAACAGCATGCAGAGACACCCCGCTGGCTCCCCGTTCGCTGTTAGGTGCCGGCCTGCTTCCCTCCGGCCTCTGGATCAGAACCTGGCTGCAGGGATGCCACAGTCATCGACGTCTGACTCCATCGTTGATGACAGCCCAGGAACTCTGGGACCGAGGAGAGAACGCTGCCTCGGGGCCCCAGATGGGAAGCTCGTGGAGAGTGGAAGTGAATTAACCCCTCGCCCGTGTGGAGTCCCTTCACTGTTCCCCTGAAGTTTACCGGGGTGCCTGTCAGCACCAGACCCGTGCTAATCAGGGGCTCCACGAGCATGGCCGGAGTCCCTGCCTGCAGGGAGGTCGCTGTCCAGTGGAGGACACACACGTATGGACAGTGATCAACCCCACACTGTGGGAAATGCCAGCATGAGGCCGCCTTCAGAACACGGAGGTTTTCCAGAAGGCTTCCTGGAGGAGGCATTGTATGAATGGGGGTTTCCAGGCTTCGAGAGCAGGCTACAGGCGGTGGGTGGGCATGAGTTGCAGAATGGCATCATTCTGGCTGGACAGGGCTTCCCCTTGTGCAGGAGGAGCAGCAGATGGGGTCATAAGGGGGTCTGGTTCGAGCTGCTCAGTGACCAGAGTCAGGACTACAGTCAGGGCCGGGGAGGGGGGTGGAGTGGGGCAGTGGGGAACAGCCTAGCATCAGACGAGAAAGGCCTGGTCAGGAGGGTCTGTGGGACCTGACTCCAGTCTGAGCTCATCTCACTTTGCTTACACCTGGCCTTCCCTGGTGGCTCAGAGGTAATGAATCCACCTGTGATGCAGGAGACATGGGGAGACGTGGGTTTGATCCCTGGGTCAGGAAGATCCCCTGGAGGAGGGAGGAGGGGATAGCAACCCACTCCAGTATTCTTGCCTAGAGAAGCCCATGGACAGAGGAGCCTGGTGGGCTAAAATCCGTGGGATCACAAAGAGTCGGACACGACTGAAGGGACTGAGCACGCATGCCAAAATGTATTTCCAAAAGTCGCATCCAGGTGCTAGGGAGGGACCTGGCTTTTTGGGGGGACACAATTAGGGAGAAAGTCACACACAGCGAGGTGAGCACAGCACCACCAGGACACCTTGTTTCGTGTGCAAAAACAAGAGAGGTTCCCGAGGGAACGGGGAGTGAGGAGAGCCCAGCCCCCGTTCCAGGGAATAGTTGTGAAACCTCAAGAATGCAGCGCCTCAAACTTCCTTAACTTGAGACAGTGAGAAATCCCAAATCAAAAGCATCCGAAGAACAATGCCCGAAGCTACTGGCGTCTTCTCGGCTATCTCATGTCAGGCCTGAGCACGCTGAAGACCTCAGCCACTTTTAACTCCTGCCAGGATCGTGTGTGCCTGAGACTTCCAGTGTCCCTGTGCTCTTAGCTGAAGCCCCTGGGGCCACAGTGCCCAGGTCAGCCAAACGCCCGGGGGGCCTCGTCCGGAGCGGGCCTCGCCCACTGAACGACGGCCTGGGTGCAGCTCCTGTTCAGGCACTCAGGGCCTGGCCTGAGAGTCTCTGCTCACCTGTCCCAGTTGGACAGCCTGGATCTGACCACAGCCTGGCTCCCTGCCAGGGAAAGACATCCGGACCTGGACCTCGTGGTTAGAGTCCCGGCTTGGGACTGGGTAGAGGGGTGGTGGCGGGGCGTGGGGAAGCGAGAGGAGAGGATTGGGAAGTGGAGGCAACAGGCAACCTCCAGTGTCAGCCCAGATTCCAGCCTGACTCTCCCTCTGCAGTCTCAAGAATTTGGGGAGGGTCGTCAGCCCTGTGTTGGCTCAATCACTTCATCTGCAAAGTGGGCCCATAGGTACAACCTCCACAGGGCTATGAGGGTTAAATGATACAGCATGCCAGCCCAGAGCCTGGCTCTCAATTAATGATGCTGTAACTTTTATTATTCTTGGCCTCGTTTTTTTTTTTTTTTTTACTCATTTGCATACTGAATGGAAGAACCTTGGATCCCTTCCAGGGGCCTGTGGCTACCTGCTCCCCTCCCTGGGACGAGTGCCTGCTCCACCAGCAGGCTGGGCTTGTCTCCTCGTGAGAAATTAAACAGAGGCAGCGTGAACATTTTAAGAGTATATCTGAGCAAAAGTCAGTGGGAATGAGGTGGCGCCACACGGGCCGTGGAGATGGAAATTTACATTCGGGGAAGCAGACGGGACATTCCTGATGATGAATCTGAAGGCCTCCGTGGCTGTTAGGACTGGTTGTCCTGAGGGTTTGATTTCAGAACCTTGAGGTATTTGCAGGCTTGGATCTTGGTTTGTTTACACAGCTGTCACGGCCTTAGAGCCGTATCCATCGAATGGCCTCCTCGTTGAATTCGTTTAATAGCTGCTATGGAGGACACCCCAGTCTCCAGGATAGCCCTGGCCCTTCTGCTCTGTGAGGACCACCTGGTTCCTCTAGGATGACTGCCCAGCCCAGGCTGGCCTCACGGGCTGTGACCTGGGCAGTAGCTCAAGGTCCCCTGTGCCTCCCTTGCCCAACACAGCATCCTCTGCACACAGCGCCTTCTTCACTTCCTTCAGTAGAGGGGTTCACGTGCCCAGGAAATGTCCCTGGCCTCTGTCCTAGGAAGGAGACAGCGACACTCCAACCAGAACCGCTCTGTCCCCCCAGGACCCTGGGTCTTGTCCTGGGTGTGGGGAGGTGGGCGAGAGGAGTGGATCTCGGCTACCCAGAGGGCAGAGTGGCTGGAGACTTACGTGGACACGCCCTGTCCCAAGCATGTGCATCTCTAAGATCCACATGGAGGGGCTGGCTTCTCATCGTCCCTCACCGGATTGGCATGCTATCGGGGGTCAGATGGCTGTCTGCAAGGGCCCTGTCTCCTGACCTCACCCTGCCTCCCTCTACCTTGCCTGTTGGTCTTGCTTTGCTCAGATGCCTCTGCCAAATGCCCATCTCTGGCAGTGTGTGTGTGTGTGTGTGTGTGTGTGTGTGGTGGGTGCAGGCACCCTGCAGCGAGGCTTATCTGATCGTCCAGGTGGTCGTAGCTTGTTGCGTGTCCATCAGGGACCACATGGGCAGTGTGCTATGGGCAGTGTCTATGAGGACCAGCATTGGCTTCCTGGGGCTGCTGCACCAACATACCACAACCTGGGGGCTTAAGCAGCAGACATCTGCGCCCTCAGTCTGGCAGCCAGAAGTTGAACCCAAGGTGTCCTTGGGGCGCTGCTTTCTTAGGGTTCCAGGGGAGAAGCTTCCCTGTCTCTCCCAGACTCTGATAGTTGCTGGCAGCCCTTGGGTTGTGGCTGCATCACTCCAGTCTCTGCCTCTGTCTTTACACGGTCTCTTCCTCCAGGCTCTGTGTGTCTCCAGCTTTGGATAGGGACACCTGTCACCGTTCAGGGCCCACCCTAAACCAGCCTGATCTCATCTGAACTTGACTATGTCTGCAAAGACCATCACTTCCAAATCAGATCATTTTCTTGGGTACTGGGGGTAGGACTCGAGTGTATCTTTGGGGGACAAAATTCGCCCCATCAGGACCTGTGATGCAAGGGTTCTGCTCCTTGTTAATCACAGCACCTGTTCCCATCTCTTCACCACCCCCTCCCCTCCCCATATCACCCCAACCACCAACCCTTCAACTCCCAGTCCACTCCACCCTCAGGGCTGTCCTCAGCAACTTTGCTCCCATCCCAAGTTCACTTCTTTCTAACCCTCCACTGTCTCCCTCCACTCAGGGGAAGAAGGGTCACACCTTTCTCCCCCACGGCTCCGCCGGCTTCACCTCCACAATCTGGACCTTGGCCCACCCTCCTGCTTCTGTATCCCTCCTCTTTCCTGTCTCTCCACCTTCCTGTGGAAGCCTGGAAGGAGAGGTGGTTGCAGCTCCTCCCAAGGACGGTGCCTCTGGCAGCATTTTAACCTGGATTGTCAACGCCACGTCTGCTCTGCTTTGCCGGCTCCTTAAAGGGGGACGCAGAGTGGGCTGGGCACAGTGATCACCCCACCAGGTGGCTCCTGAAGCCGTTCACACAGAAGGCTAGCTGGCAGTGCACCTGGTAGTCCAACCACTGCGCCATCCCTTCTGTCTGTCCCGACACTCTAAGCTGCCCCAAGTGTCCTCCACATGGGGTGGTCCAGCCTCCCTGCTTAACCCCCACTGGCTCCGGGGACCCTGGGATGGAGTTCATAGTGTCCAGGGCCAGGTCCAGGTCTGGGTCCCCGGCTCTGCAGCATTGTCCTGCCTCCCCCACCCTCTGCCCTCAACTAAGGCCATCAATTTCAGCTCCTATTGCTGCCGGAGAGACTTTTATTGACTCTTGTCCTTAATATAAAAGTCATGTGTTTATGCTAAATTTTTTTTGAAAATTCCAAGGAAAAAGAAAGCTTTAAAACACCTGCAATCTCACCATCCAGAGAAAACCATCTGTAACAAATTGGTGTCTTTTCAGTGTTCTCTGTAGGTAAGTGCTGTGCTGAGCTTAGTCACTCAGTCGTATCCCACTCTTTGCGACCCTGTGGACGACAGCCCACCAGGCTCCTCTGTTCATGGAATTCTCCAGGCAAGAATTCTGGAGTGGGTTGCCACACCCTCCTCCAGGGGAATCTTCCCAACCTTCAACCCGGGATCGAAGCCGGGTCTCCTGCACTCCAGGTGGATTCTTTACCTGTTGAACCACCAGGGAAGCCCAGGTAAGTGCTGCATACAACCTTAGTTGTATGTTCCCTCAGAATTCAAATCCTGAGCTCCTAATGCCCAATGTGATGTCGAGGGGGTGGACTCCTCTGTTCATGGAATTCTCCAGGCAAGAATTCTGGAGTGGGTTGCCACGCCCTCCTCCAGGGGAATCTTCCCAACCCAGGGATCGAAGCCGGGTCTCCTGCACTCCAGGTGGATTCTTTACCGGTTGAACCACCAGGGAAGCCCAGGTAAGTGCTGCATACAACCTTAGTTGTATGCTCCCTCAGAATTCAAATCCTGAGCTCCTAATGCCCAATGTGATGTCGAGGGGGTGGGGTCTTTGGGAGGCAATGAGGACCCCGGGGTGGAGCCCACATGAATGGGATCAGTGCCCTTGTCAAAGAGATTCCAGAGAGCTCCGTGTCCCCTCCCTGGGTGAGGATGCAGGGAGAAGGGTGAAGCCTGGAAGTGGACCCTCACTGACCCCCCTGCACCCTCCAGAGCTGGGAGAAATGGATGTCTGTTGTCTGTTTTTTAAAGAAACAATTTTATTTGGTTATTTATACTTGGCTGAACTGGGTCTTTCTGCGGTGTGGGTTTTCTGCAGTGGTGGGGGCTACTTTCCAGCTGCGGAGTGAGGGCTTCTCTTCTTGTGGCT